ATATTAATATTATTTTACTATATATATTATAAAATTTACTGTTAATATTTTTTAATTATATAAATAACCATCTGATGAACTCTTTTATACAACATAATATATATAATATAAAACATAAAAGATCATACATATAGAAAATGAAAGATAAGCACCATACAAAAGAAATAACATAAAATAAAACTTACAACAAATATAATTGGTTAATAATCCGATAAATCATTTTCGGATCCATTAAAATTATTAAAATAATCTGATAAAATATTATTAAATTCTTACATAACATGATAATAGAAGATGATTGTGATATCGAGGTGCCAATTGAAGTTGAAAGAGAAGTCATGTCAAGGAAAATTGAAATTGAAGAAAATAATAATGTGAGGTTCCAAAAGTTTCTTTCCCATTTCAGAGAAATCAAAGATAAAGAAGTTCATTTTTTACTTCGAAATGCATTAGTTGATCATTTGTGGGGAAATTATTATAATTCTCATGAATAATTTAGATATGATGTATTATTGTGTTTAAACTATATAATGTAATTTTTAATGTATTAAATGTATTCTTTTAAAACCTTGTTGAGTAGTTTTATTTATATAATATAAATTTAATTGTGGTTAATATTGTATTTAATAGAAATGCTATAAATTTAAAATGGACTGTTTTGCAAATAATATAAATGAAAGGTGATATTCCTAATTTTGAAATAAATATAATATTAAAATTATTCTTTTGGAGTAGAAAATGGAGTAATACATTGGAGTAAAACTCAACTGCATTTTGGAGTTACTCTATTTTAGAGTAGAAAATGGAGTAATACATTGGAGATGCTCTTAATTACTAATCCTTTTGTTTCAATATAATACATATTTTAGAGAAAAATTTTGTTTCTAATATATCCATATTTCATATTTTCAATGCATTAATTAATGTTAAATTGTAAACTTCAAAACATTTATTAAAATCTTATTGGTCAAATGTTATAAGAATAGTATATTATAAAAAATAATACATTAGTAATTTAAAATTCATAAATTTTCTTAATATGTGTGAAATACTAAAACATACCCCCTCCGTTTTTTTATAAGATGGTTTAGAAGGTTTATGTTATTTCAAAATATAAGATGTTTTGAGATTTTAAGATATGTTTTGAAGTTTTAAGGTTAACTTTAAATTTATTGGAAATTGTTCAACCAATAATTTTTTTTTCATTTTATAATTTCTTGAATGATTTTAAAAATATACCATTAATAGTATTTTTAAAAAGAAGATAAATATCTTAATCTCCATGCAGTCAACCAAAATATCTTATAAAAAGAAACGGAGGGAGTATATTTTATTGAAACAGAAGGAATATGATATTGTGTGCTTTATCTGTAGACCAAATTTTTATACTGAAAACTTTACACTAAATAGAATAAGATCACTATCCGATGTTGAATTTGGATTGTATATTGTAGTTCCTAAAATCTACACTCAGTATTTTGTAGAGATCGAGAGTTCAATCAGGGGAAGAGAAAGGATGTAGGCAACAATGTAATCGGATTTCGGTTGACAAAATAGAATTTTATTGAATGCATAATTCGTTTACAAGGTGATGAACAAGATCGGAAATAACAACAAAGAGTACAAGAAAGCAAACTAGAAATCTAAGAGATAAGGTCGATGTGATTAGTAAATTGCTCTAGGGTTTTTCTCGTGTGTGCTAAATGTCATCCTAGATCTCTCTTTATAGTAATTCGTCCTCTAACTGCTTCCGCGATATCAGGGACCCCGTTCCGACCTCGTAGAGTCCACTGGTCACGTTGCGATGATAAAACTTGGACCTGGGCCTTGTTTTGGGCATCCGGCTCAACTCCGTTCTCGTTGTACTTCCTCGAACTTGGAATTAATGGGCCAGATTTTGGGTCCAAATTTGCCTCACAGCCTTTTTAGTTTGGAGAAACTGAAGAGGCGAGAAGCTAAATCTAACCGTTTGTCATCGCCTATCTCGGAGAAAGCGGTGCCACGTGTATCATCCTTGTCGGTCACTTTCCTCCATCATGCGGTTGAGGTTGTTCGTCGACGTCATCCGCTTTGGGAACCGTTTTTAGATCCTCATTAAATAGGTCATCTTCTTCGTTGAGAGCATCTACTCTCTTGCGATTTCTTCGAATTTCTTTTTCTTCTCTTGCTTCTCAGTTTTTAATTTGCAATATCTCGATGAAAAATATTTGGTTTCCTCCTCATCTCCTAACTATCATCAAGGGAAAACATCTTGGTAGCATTCACGAGTTGTGGGGAATCCCCTATGAGGTGCAAATCGACGTCGCGATGGGCGACGAAAATCCCGAGAGCGTTCGCAACGAGTACTGTGGCGCTTATGTGACGCACTTTAAAGATTGCGGTCTGTCGTTTCCGCTTCCTCCATTTCCGCTCTTCTTTTTCACCATGACGGGATTGGCTAGCCAATTTGGGTACTGGACTTCATGGATGGATCCGATCTTCAGGAGTTTTTCAACTTCTTCATTTACGGCCTTTGAGCGCTCGGGGCCCAACTTCATTCGCTTCTGCTTCACCGGCTTTTGGGTAGGATTGACATTCAACTGGTGAGACTTTATCGTGATATCGATCCCGGGCATATCGGCGGCCGTCCAAGCGAATGTTTTGATGTTCTTTCTCAGGAACGACATCAAGTCGCGTCTTATATCTAACGAGAGGTCGTTTCCGATGTTGACGCATTTTTTGGAAATTGTTCGTTGAGTGGAATCGAACTCGACAAATTCTCATCGTTTATCTTGATCGCGATTAGATGGGGTTTTCTTCTTTTGCGGGTGCTTCTTTTGGAATTCCGCCAAGTAGCAGGCTCTAGATCTTTTCTGACTGCTCTAAATCGTTCTTTCTCCGATAGGTGACATAAATTTCACGCATTGGTGGTAGACCGGCGGGATCACTCTCATTTTATGTAACCACGATCTCCCCAAAACGACGTCGAAATGCATAGGGTGTTCGGAGACAGCGAATTTGGATTTCAATTCCAAATCTTGAACTCCAGTCACGATGGATACGGTCTCCGAGAATTGCACTTTTCGTTCGTCGAAGTCGACGTGGAAATCTATCTCACGTTGAACGGTGTGGCCACCTTGATCTATTAACAGAGTGTGTCTCTAGGTATAATGTTTCGAGTGCTACCTGTGTCGATGAAGGCTCTTGTTACGGTTACTCCAGCGAGATCGATTGTAATAATCATGGCATCGTCGTGTGGCATATCGAGTTTGACCATTTCGTGTTCATAGAAGGTTAAGGTTCCCTTCTGGATCTCTGATGGCTGTCGAGCTTCCTGGTGCTGTCTCTCGGTGCGGAGCTCTTCATTTTTGTA